GGAGTCGATGGAGGGCGAACGATGAGTGGATGATGATGATGATGATAAAGGAAGGAGCCATGATGACGATAGATGATCAGTGGCTGAAAGTAGCGCTGTGACTTTTTGAATGAAGGCTTAATTGCACTTGGATACCCTGTAACTTCCCGCTACCTTGCACTTATATACCCTCGCTTGTTTTTTGGTGGTATTTGGCCTTAAAGTTTTCAAAATTTTGCACTATAATATCTTCAGCTATGAAAACGTGATAGTTCTTGGAAGAAAGTTTCACATACTATTTTGAGAACATTCTAACTCTTAATAATTTATTGTTAAACCTATTAAAATATTATTTCAACATTGAAGTAGGGCAGGATATAGAATTACTGTAGTTTAAATAAAAAAAAATTAAGTGTTAGAATGCTCTGAATTAGCACTTGAGTGCTGCGTGAGACCTTTTAGAGGAAAATCCTCATGTTTGCATAGCACGATTTTTTTGTTATGCGCAAATTTTAAAAACTTTAGAATGTCTAAGTGTTGCCAAAAATATGTTAGGGTATATGATTTTGAAGTAGGGGAAACTATAGAGTATTTTAGTGCGGTTAAGCTTTTGAGTAAATTCAATGCTTTGGTCGTTTTATGTTAGGGATTCTGTCATCTTAGACTCTAATTTTCTTATTGACTGTACATTAGGGCCTTTAGTGTTCATGTTTCTAATTTATCCCCAACTCTTTTAAATTGATTTATAACAACCACAAATATAAAGTTTTTGTCATATTAGACCGTAAATTTAGAGTTTTAGTTACATCAAGGAAGTTTTGTTTTCAACCGTTTTATAGCCCTTTACCAAATGCAACTCTTATAGCAATAAACAAATTTAGAGGTGCAAAAGAAAATATTTGTAACCATGGATATATTCATATTTGTATTCGTCTGAAAATGGATATAGTTATTGAATAGCATATCATACTCTTTATAAAGTGTGAGTTTGAAAAAAAATTTCCATAGTCAGTATGACCCTTAACCCTTTCGAATATTACTAATTAACAATGTATATTCAAATATTTTAAGGTAAAGTTTTTTTAACAATATTTGATATGAAAGAGAGATCAAACAATGGAACTAATTCTTTATTCTATTAAAAGATGACATGCGTACAACTAATTCTATCTTCCTAAGAATTCTTTTTAAATTAAAGTCACTGTTATAAATAGCGGTAAATAGCCCCGCAATAGCGGCACTAATAGCGTTAGCGGTCCCTTCCCGCTACGCTATTGCGCAATAACAGTGACATATTGTGGAACATGTCTGTTCGCAAAAGCGGCCAATAGTGTGTCATAACGGTGAATATTGAGCGATTGCATTCGAAATTTGCTTTTTTACTGCTATTTAAAAGCGGTTTGAGGCTTATTTTTTTAAAATTAAACTCAACCCTTAACCATTGTATTCCACCGTCTCTTGTGATTTTCAGCATACTTCCGCCACCTCTCATAGCCTCTGGCACCTACCTTGATACTTCCTCTCACCTCCTTCACTGTGAGCTCCTTTTAGGACAATCCTGTCACCGTTAAGCTCTTCTTCTCAAAGACGACGACTTTTTGACTCCTCTAGTCATCTTCGGTATTACGTGATGGTTACATGTCTATTTCATATTTAGGATCTCTTTAAATCATCCAATATGTATTTTTAGATTTCTTAGATTTTTCTTTAAATTTTTTTAGTATTTATACATATTTAAATTAGACCGCTATTTGACTTTGCGCTTTTTACCGCTATTTTGCCGTAATATCCCGAAATAGTCTTAGCAATGCCTCACCGCTATGCGACGCTATCCGCTATCAATAACCTTGATTAAAACTATTCATATCCATAATTAGAAAATTCTATCCATAAAAAAATGAATTTTTTTAATAATCAAATATTTGCTAAATCTAAACAAATTGTGGCTATCCACAATTTAAGAACAAAAAAAAAAATGTAATATGTTCCTCCTTAATTATTTTAGAAAGTAAATTTCAATAAACCTCCCATAACTTTGAATAGAACACTATACTCCAAGATGTTAGCATCTCTCGCTAAATCTTCAGTAAGTTTGATAACTTTAGAAAACACCAAAAATATTTTGATTTCTTGCAATTAACTTTCATAATGGTGTTACCAAAATTTTACATTGATTAAAATTAACCCTCAATGATAGTATATATCCCTCAAATTATTCTTATTTGTAACTTAACCCATAAATTTATAAATAATTCTACAAATATAAAACAACTAGAAATGGCTCCTTAAAAAAATATAAAAATTATAAATAACATTTAGAAAAATTCAAAAGCTACAAACAACCGCCTTTAAATTTCTAAAAATTATAAAAACCCGCTGACAATTTGAATATTACAAACAAACCCTTGAATAATAAAAAACAATATTTTCCCCTAAAGATCTGAAATTAAAAGAAACTTGATAAATCTAAAATTAAAAAGAAAGATTCTTAAATTCTAAAATTATAAATGACCCTCAAAATAGTTCATAAATTACAAACAGCCTCTTAAAAAATCCAAAAATAAAAATAGCCCCCTTTAAAATTTGAAAATTATAAACAATGGCCTAAAAATTCAAACAAACACTTGAAAGATATGAAAATTAAAAAATACATAAAAGTAAAAATGACAAATAACACTCTAAAAATTTAAAAATTGCAAATAGCCACCTAAAAATCTAAAATATAAAAAACAGACCTTTAAATTTAAAATTTTTAAAGAAACCCTGAACAAATTCAAAAAAGCCCAAAAATATAGAACAAACAAACAAGCCCTCAAAAATTCAAAAAGTAGAAACGAACCCCTTTAAAATTGAATAATTGCAGTCAACCTCTTGAAAATTCTAATAATTACGAACAAAACTCTAAAAAATCCAAAAAAAATCCAAAATATCCAAAAATTATAAACATCCATTATTTGGATTTTTTGCTAAAAATTATAAGGGTTTAAGTGAAAAACATAAAACTTTTTGGATTATTGGGGCGTGTTTTGGTCATTTGACTACGTATAAACTAATGATGATAATTTGGAGAGCTTTTCGTCAAAAGTTATTGGGGTTTAGTGATAGTTTTAAAAATATTAGAGATTTAGTTCCAAACACTAAACTTATTGGAGATTGAGTGAAATTTCTCGATAGTGAATTTTTATGTTTCTTTGAATTTGCAAAAAAAAAACTTGAACAATCTAAAATTAGAAATAACCCCTTTAAAATCCAAAAATTACTATCGTCCTCTACTAGTGATTGGTATTTTACTCTATCTCAGAGTTGTTGCTCCAATCACCAGTAGATATCTACTTTTGTAATCCTCTTTTGCTCTTATATTATTATCAATGATAGGGCTCGTTGCCCTATTTTACATTCAAAAAAAAATTCTAATAATAACAAAAAAATTTCTAAATTTCTAAAAAATTATAACTCTCCAGTATTTGGTGTTCTTATTATTTAGGGATAAGTTAAAAAAATATAAAACTCATTGGGTTATTGGGGGTATACTTTGGTCAATTGATTATACATGAACTAATAATATTAATTTTGATGGTTTTACGTTAATGGGGTTTTAGTGACAGTTTTGAAGACATTGGAAATTAGTTCCAGTCAACAAACAATTGGAGGTTTATTGAAATTTATTGATATTTTAATTTAGAGTTTTTTCAATATGTACCCCCCAAATTGTAGTTATTTTTAAACTTTTCCCCCAAAAACATGATAATTGTAAATTTGCCTCTAAAATTGTTTTATTCCCTCAACTTTCCTCATCACTATAACTTTAGTATAAAAAAAGAATAAAAGGCAAACCTACTGGCTACAGGCACAGGCATAACACTTGTTTAACTTAGCTAGAAACTATAAACTTTTTGAAAAACAGTTATATCTCTTTTTCCTAATCAATTTTGTCATACGTTTAAATACTAGTATGCTTTTAAATACTAGTATGCTTTTATGGATTGCCTTTATGTGGCAGATTTTTGAGATATAATATCATAAAACCCCCTTGAATATCCTAATTATCAAAAATCCCCTTTAACTTTTAGATTTTACTAGAAACCCCCTTCAATGTAGAGATTTTATCAAAAAAAATTCCCTAAATTCATCACCTTTAGTTGGGTTTCTTGATAAAATCTCAAAACTAAAGGGGTTTTGATAAGCATTGACCGAAGGGGGTTTTATGATATTTTTAAAGTCATGCGGGGTTATCTGATTATCATCCAAAATTAAGGGGAGTTTTCTGATATTTGACCTTTAAATTATTGTGCTTTGTTCGCATAGTTATATGCACTAAGCATGAGATATAATGTTTGCCTAATAATTTACTATATCAAATAGGAAAGATGCAGTGGTATCTTACTATAAGGGGCTGTTTGGTGCAATTTCTATAAAAAAGAGGAAAAAGAAAAATACTCAAAATTTGATTTCCTTGTATTTTTATAAAATTTGTAGGAAAATTTTATAGAACTCAAAAGAGTATCATATTTCTTATTTTTTGCTATTTCTTTGTTTGGTTCAAAAGTATAATTTTTTTTTTAACTTTATAGAAAATAGGGAAAAATGTTTCAAGGCCCCCCAAAAAAAATTGGATGTGGCGCAGCCCCACCAATTATCTTCCTTAGCCTTCAGCCCCAAAAAAATACGAAAATTATGGCCCAGACCCAAAAGCTCATACGTATACATCTACTGGCTGTATTTTGTTGCTACCTCCCTAAAATGCCCTCATCCCTCTCACTGGAAACCGGCTGAATGGGTTCTCTTCTTCTCTGATCTCTCGTCCAACGCATTTATGGCGAAGCGACGGGGGAAAGCGGGGGAAAAGCGCGGGCTCCCACCATTTTAAGGTCTGCTTCTCATCCTTTGTTATAAATTGGTTAGTTTTATCTCTCACTCTCTCATTAATGAAATTAGGGTTTTTTTCTTCAACTGTCAACAACCCTTTTGCACCTAAAATCCCCTTAATTACTCCTCAACTCCTCATAATTGCCTTCATAACTATCCTCATAACTTTCAACCACCCCTAATGGCCGCCAATGACTTAATTTGCATGGTGTCTTTAGGCGAGAATGCCATATTCGTGAAGCTAAGTTCGACAACAAGCTTTTATGAACTCCAATTTGATGTGTCTGAAAGATTGAAAGTACCTAAAGAAGCTTTATCATTTATATTTAAATCTGAGAGGCACCCCAACCTCAGTTTTTCAGTTGACAACGATGATGATTTGAAGTGCATGTTGGAGCACAATCGAAATATTGGTTGTACGGAGATTCACATGCAAGCTGCTGTTAATGTAGAGTGTTCCACTTCAAGGAAAAATCAGATTAGGGAAATGTAAGTAATTAATGAACTCTTTATAACATTGGGTTTTGTGTGATGTAAACATTGTTATTTTTTTCTTCAACTTTCAACCATCCCTTATGGGCATTAAATCCCTCAGTGTAAGTTGTTATTGATTTGTAAGTAAACAATGAACTCTGTCAGGAACAGGTCTATGTGTGATGATAAGTCAATTGTGATTTCAGGTTTCGATGCTAACTTGGGAAAAAATAGTTGTCATCTCTGATGGTTAGATGTTAACTCTTCATCTTATAGGTTAATTTTCCAAGAGATATGTTAACCTTTACATGAACATGTTAATTGTCGTGGGAACATGGTTAATTTTACACCCAGTTAGTTAACTTTTGTTGTACTATGTTAAGGTTTACGGAAAATGGTTAATTTTACACCCAGTTAGTTAACTTTGTTGTACTATGTTACCTTTGGTCCTACTGCTCTTAACTTAAATTATCAGAAGATAATATAACATATTGTGCATGATATCTCACTGGTTGATTAATTTGTGTAGTAGTGATGCCTCTTTGAATGCAGAATATAGTCGTCCTCCTCCAGGAAATGCATCCAATTCAGAGAGAATCCAAAATGATTTCCCGTCTTGTGAGGTTGTAATGAGAGCTGATGATATTCTCAACAACACTTCCATCATTCCTCAATGGTGGCACACAGCATTAACTGAAAAGGGGCAACAATTTGAGACTGTAAACGAATTGAGACTTGCTTTGCAGTACTATTCCATGGCGAAAAAATTTGACTATGAATTTGTAAAGAATGAACCCAAACGTATCCGAGTATGTTGTCGATATAAGGAGACATATGGATGCCCTTGGATGCTCTTTGCATCTCCTGTTAAGTATGGTAAAAGAATTGAAATCAAAAGGTTTGTGAATGAACACAGTTGTGGACAACATGCTAACTTGTCAGGGCAATCACGGGCATCTCGTAAATTCATAGCAGCCCAATTGCGACCGGTATTAAAGGCGCGACCTGAAATCCGACCAATTGATGTGAAAAAGGAGTTCCTCACTCGATATAGATTGAGACTTGAATACAGTAAGATATGGTGGGGCAAAGAAAGAGCGCAGGAGGATATGTATGGTGATAGTTATGAGGCTTATGATCAATTAAGATGGTAAATTTTACAGTTATTTTATTAAGTGTACAAATTTTTATCATAGCCGCTTATAGTACAATTGTTAGTTGTTGATTTATCATGCAATATCTCATCCTTAGATGTTTCATGTTAGTTTTCATTGATATGTTCCAACTGTCATTGTGGAATGTTATGTTTTATGAAAACTTGTGAGCTTTTATGTTAATATATTATCCTAATGTTCCAATGTATTATATATGCTTGAGCAGAAGCTACATTGTTGTACAGGTATGAGCAAAAGGTGAAGGAAACGAATCCAGGAAGCTACATATGCATTGACCAGAATGAAGGAAGGTTCAAAAGACTGTTTATATGTTATGCCGCTTGCATCGTTGGTTTCTTAAATGGGTGTAGACCCCTATTATTTTTGGATGGGACCTTTTTGAAAGACAGATACAAAGGCATGCTCCTGAGCGCCATAGCATACGACGGAGACCAAGGGATATTTCCGGTTGCGTATTGTATATGTGATCAGGAAAATGTTGATAATTGGAGATGGTTCCTTCAAGGCTTGTGGTCCATACTGTATGAAAGGTTAGACCCGTACAATCCTCCCCACCAATTGGTAATTATTTCTGATGCCGACAAGGGGATTCGAGAAGCCGTGAGAGAATATTTCCCTGAAGCAATCCACTCACGATGCGTGCTGCACCTAGTTGAAAATTTTAGAACAAAGCTAAAGGATTTGGGATTGAAAGCAAAGGACACACAAGTTTTGGGGAGTTTGCTCCAATCTGCTTGCTATAAATACACTATAGCGGAATGGAACGACTACATGAAGGAAATTTATGAGATGGCTCCAGTCGCATATGAGATTGTACTCTGTTATTCGCCAGAGAATTGGGCGAATGCATTCTTCCCTGGTATCAGGTAATGCATTCATCTTAGATTATGACGTTTTGCAGTTGATGTTAACTATTCTACATATATGTGAATTTTTCTTTCTATAGGTTAACTTTGTCTGATATATGTTAACTTTCAGCAATATATGTTAACACTGATGTTTTTATGTTAACTTTGAGCAGTAAAGGTTAAGTTTTGTTGTTACGTGTTAATTTTATTACATATTGGATGCCCATCATACTATTAATTATTTTGTGCTTTGCAGATATGGTCATGTAACCTCTAATGTTGCAGAATCCTTTAACAGCTGGATACGTGAAGCTCGATTGTTACGTATCCTGCAAATGGTAGAGCATATCCGAAAACAAATTATGAGTCGCCTGAACAATAGACGGATTATGGTTGATAAGTGGACAAGCTATCTGTGCCCTAAAGCTGAGCAGATTGTTAGAGAAAATATGGAAAGAGGACATGCTTTAGAGATTAAACAATCAAGAGATGATATATTCGAAGTGCAGTCACATAGAACTACTCACGTTGATTTGGAGAAGAGGACGTGCACTTGCCGAGCTTGGGACGTAACCCGTATTCCTTGTGTGCATGCTTGTGTAGTCATTATTTATATGAAAAGAGACGTATATCAATATTGTGATTGGTTCATGTCCGTAGAAGCGTTTAAGAAGAGCTACGACGAAATATTATATCCCATCCCAGATTATGAGAAGCGGAGTGTGTCCAGGGATGAAATACAGATTTTGCCACCAATTATCACTAAGAGGAGGGGAAGAAATAAAACAAGACGCATAAATAACAGAACCATTTACAAACGGCCAGTCAAATGTTCTCGGTGCAAAGTTGTTGGTCACAATCGAGCAACCTGTAACGAGCCCATCTGGTGACTAGTGTGTTTCTGCTTCTTACATCAATACTTTTGTATGAGACAGCAAAGCTTGTTTTTAAGTGGTTAAGTGTATAGTGGTGGACTTTTGTAATCTGTGATAATGATCGACTAATCATTTTGTTCATGCTAGCAATATCTAAAAGCAAGGCTGAAAGATGTTAACGGATTTGTGCTTGTTCATCTTAGATTTTTCAAAAAGATATTGATTTTAAATTGGCCAAATGTCCAACATCTCATTCACTGTTCTAACGGCTAACTGTCCGTCATACTGTGCTAACAGCTATATTACAACGGCTAGTTTATTGTTCCTTATGCAATATATAATGTGCCCAAAGCAAAGCTAAATTTAAATGTATGTTCTATCTTCCCTGTGTTCCCCGTTTGAGAGTGTGAGATGAGAACATCAGAGATATCTCAGTCACAAGAAGAGGTATGTTGTTTCTATCAAATTCCAACACCATGAGGCAGTGCAAAAGTGGGAAGAATAAAGGAAGATACTTCTGGGGATGTGCAAATTTCCCAAATAGGCAATGCAAGTTTTTTGCTTGGGCTCACCAAGAGAATGCAATGTCCAGTAAGATTATTCCATTTTGCAAGTTTTTTGCTTGGGCTCACCAAGAGAATGCAATGTCCAGTAAGATTATTCCATTTTGCCCAGAAGTCTCCGTTGAAGATGAGATAGCGACCAAAACAAAGCAATTGAAGAAAGCACTGAAGCAATCGAACTGTGAAGTCGAAAAATGGAAACTTTGCTCATTCTTCCTATGTTGTTTTTGTATGGTACTAATTTTCTTCAACATTGTCATCTGTAAGATGAAAATCAACTGAAGAAACTTCAGTTTGTTATGCTTTTGCTGTAAGTGGTTAAATATTATCTGTCAACTTTCACTAAAAGTAGTCAATTTTAGTGACATTTATGTTAATTTCCCAACTGAAAGGGGTGATGTATCAGAGTTATACGTTTACTTCTACTAAAAGTGGTTAATTATTAGACTTTTACGTTAGCGTTTACTAAAAGTGATTATTTATCTCAGTGATTATTTATCTCAGTTATACGTTAACGTTTTCTGAAAGTGGTTATGTTCTCGGAGTTATATGTTAACTTTTACTGAAAGTGGTTAACTATCAGAGTTATACGTTAACTTTTAGTGAAAGTTGGGTTTTTACCAAATTTTTGGCAAATTTTTTTACTTTCAGCGTAATAGGTTATCTGTGTGGTTGACTACATGTCATCTTTTCTTATATTATGTTAACCCTTAGGAGGAATATGTAAATCAATGTTGGTTTTTTCTCAATATATCAGTAACATGTGGTTAACTATCAGAGTTATACGTTAACTTTTACTGAAAGTGGGTTTTTTTACCAATTTTTTGGCAGTTTCACAACCAGATATGTGCATCTTCTCATCCACACTATCAACCAGTTACACAAACAGTGGAATAACTGTCAAAGAGAATGATACACAGCTGCAATAATGTTAACTAAATTTAAATGCTAGTTAGTTTTGTTCCCAATTCAATCTGTTCGTACACATCACTTTTTAGGATATCATTCACCCATCCTTTTCCACTGTCTCCCCTTGATTTTTCTGTTCCCATCCTTCTATTAGGAGTTCAGCTGCAAGCCTGGCACGGATGACTTCAGACTCGTCAGAGTGATTAGTTACTTGAGTGGTATCTACCCCATGAATTATAGCCTTTATATATAAAGGAACGAAAAGCCCACAATCAAAGCTGCATGATATAAGATGGAAAGAGAGTTAGATATAACATGCTGAATAAAATGAAAATGTTTAAATTTAGTTAACATACTAACACATGTTTAAATGCATGAAATACTAACATTTCAGTCGGTTGCTCGCAAGGGACGGCTTCATATCGGAACTTTCTCCAAATATTATTCGGATCAAAACCAGATTTCATATGGTCCATGAAAGCAATTACTTTATTTACTGGCTCAATGTATGCACTATGGCCAGCCGAGCTATAATGCTTGACAACGTCCTCATCCAACCTTACTTCAGCCACATGCCAGTGGTCATGACGCACAAGCGGGATAAGGAGTACATTCTTCCTTGCGGCAACATGCTTTTGTATGAAAGAGGTGTATAGATGTGGAAAATCTAGAGTGACTGCATAAAGACTATGCTGTATTGCCAAAAAATAATGATAAGCCAATTGTAAACATGAGATAAAAATAGTAGGAGATTGAACCTAATGCTTACGCAGAAGAATGTCGATACAACCCCATATTGGTTGCCCATGGACTCCACATCTGGCCTCTCTAGCCATGTGACGAGCCTATCTACAAGAGCTTCCATCACCTGTAAATTTACCATGGAGCAGATACAAATTAAATTACATAACACTCAGTCATCTCATAAAATGCGTAAGAGATTAACATATCAAACTTGCATGGTCATCGATACGGCCGCCACGTAGAAGATTAAGAAGTTCCAATGAATCGACACTACTGTTGAATGTGTTAACAATAACACGTGACCTGAAACATAACAATAAGATCCAAACCTCGTTCAACCACTTACTATAGAAAAATATGGAAATATTAATATGATTTAGCAAAGGTTAGCATAAATGGGTATAAGTTAACATAAATATGGAAACGTTAACACGTAACGATGAAAGCTAACGTTTTCTAGCAAACGTTAGCATAAATGGGTAATAATTAACATAAATCTGGAAATGTTAACATGTAACAATGAAAGCTAACATGTCCTAGCAAACGTTATTCAGAATGACTAAACTTACTGATGGGCTTTTTGATTGCAAAACTCAGAGATCCTTCTATTCTCATCTGGTGTGAGCTTTGATAATACGTGTTGAGGTACTCTAAAGTTGTGAATGAAGTTTCCTTTACTATCAATCAAACGTATGCTAAAATCATCAATGCTAGGAATATCCTCGTTCAGCAACTTCAAAAGAGCCTCCTCCTTCTTCTTGATTTTCCTCTTCGCCAAAAAATCCCAAGTGCATTCATCAGGCTTACAATAGAACCTGATTTTTTCCCCCTCTTCCTCCTTGTGGTGTGATATGTTAATTATCTCTTGATGAACTTCCTTCTTCTTTTCTTGAGTGAAAGGAGTGCGGACTAGTTGTGAGCGCGTCTGCTTTCTGGTACTTGGTCTCCTAGTCCCCTTTGACACTAATTTCTTCAATCTCTTCTGATAAACTTGCACATGTTTTTTCTCCTCCATCCTTTCTTCAACTTTCTTCTCCACAGCACATTCTCCCTCTCTGTTCTCCTCCACTTTTTCTTCATCCTTCTTCTTTCCTTTTTCCTCTTCCACTTTCTCCTCCTCCTCTTCCTCTTCCTCTTCCTCTTCCTCATTCTTCTCCTGCTCTCGCTCATCCTCTTTCTTCTCATCCTCTCTCGCTTCCTCTTTCTTCTCCTCAACACATTCTCCCTCTCTGTTCTCCTCCACTTTTTCTTCATCCTTCTTCTTTCCTTTTTCCTCTTCCACTTTATCCTCCTCCTCTTCCTCTTCCTCTTCCTCTTCCTCATTCTTCTCCTGCTCTCGCTCTTCCTCTTTCTTCTCATCCTCTCTCGCTTCCTCTTTCTTATCCTCCTCACTCTCTGCAGCTTTCTCCAAATTATCATCCTCCATCTCTTGCCATTCACCTTTCTCTAACTCCTTCTCTGCTTCCTTGCCAATATTGGTTACCTCGTCATAATCGAAGCAAATTCCATCATCACCCCTGACCTCAGAATCAATACTCCTTATTTTTTTTGTGCAGACCCTGTATGCCCCTCTTTCTGTGACATAATCCCCTTCACATTCTTCTTCAGGTCTTCGGGGTCAATCAAGTCAGCGGTCCCTTCATAACGCTCTAATTTCTTGTTCAGCCTATGTATCTCCTTAGAGCATTCCTCCCATTGAAGGCGCTTACTACGCTTGACAGTGTGGAGCAGTTTCCAATTAATTTTGGCCGTATTCCGCCAAAATTGAATTTGATCTTCGGTTGTCAACTTCTCTATTTCATCTTCACTCTCAAAAGCATCTCTGAAACAATGAGTACATGGAAAATTAACTAATGATAAAGATAGAAAATTTAACTCAATTGGTAATATGCAAGAATGTGTAAAGAGTCATTGATGCTTACGTAACCTATGGATGAGCTCTTTGTCCTGCCCTTCACCTTATCTTGCTTCCCATCCTTTACCTTTTCTTCCTCATTCTTCTTTCTCACCCTAGTTTGCTCCATAACCTTACTCCTATATGAGACAATTGGGCTTCTTTTTTTCTCAAAGCGAGCGATTTCAATCTTCTTCCTGCTAGGCTCCCGTTGAGGGTATTTTTCACCTTGAGGGTATTTTTCACCCCAGTTAATGATGGGCGTAATTGGTTTCTCCATGATTTTAATGCTTGTTTTCTTGGCCTTAGAGACAATTGTCTCCATCCTCAACGATCCAGCGGTCCCTCCAACCCTTACCCAATTGGTCATCGGAGGCTTCCATCTCAAGTTTAGGGCTGGTTTTTTAATGCCAGTCATCTCATAGTACCATAGCTGTCAGAATCGAAGGAACGAATATCAAAATAGTTA